TTGCTGTGAGTCGGAGCCACCTCGACAGCACCTAAGAACAACACAACAAAGCTGTTCTTCAAAAGGACCCGGTGACTCTGTTCAGTAACTCTGCGACAGTGACCAGGTGGGTGTTGTTCCTGACCCTGAGGACAACAATTTCAGTAAGAGTTTTTAAATGAGCAATGAATACTAAATTTTAAGAAAAGTCTTCACAGTGCATTGTGACTGGGGTTTTTTCTTAATTTCTGAGGCCTCATTTCCTCATCTAAATGACAGCTGGCAAGTTCCTCCTGTGAGCCCCACTGTAAAGGCCAAACCAGAAATGAAGTCAAGTGCCTGCTGTGGCAGGGAAACTCGCTCTGGCCGTACTGGTCTCATCACAGACCCCACCTCACAGCCTCATAAGACCACTGTGAGGAGGGGCGCATATCAGGGCAAACAGGCCCTGAGAGGGTCTGTGGCTGGTGAGACCTTGCCTGCGCCCTGCCCAGTCACTGCTGGGTTTGGTGGCCTGGCTCTGCCCAGGGCTGCTCAGTGCATCCGTCAGCAGCCCCTCCTGACCCCAGCTGCATCCTTTCAGCCTTTCGGCGGCACTATGGGCCAGCTCTTGGAGGAAGCCTGTGCGCATTCCTGCTAGAAATGCTTCTTCACAGGAAACAAGACAACAGCACTGCCTGCAGCACCAAAGCCTGTCTCTGCGAAGCATGGGGCGGAAAGGCCAGCAGACGCAAGGGGTCGGAGTTGGTGGCAGGTGGGCGCTGGGGGCAGAGAGCCAGTCAGGTGTCAGGAGCCCCGCCAGAGACCCCGGCAGGCAGAGGGGAAGAAACCATGTTTGCAGTTGTCTTGGAGGAGCTGGGGCTGGAGCCCTGTCCACATCAATCTGAGAATTTAACCGACACTCAACTCTGCCTCTCTTGGTGTCAGAAGACAAGGCCTCAGAGAGGCTGTGGAACAGGCACCGTGGACCTTCTATTGCAGGCATCGGAGCACAAGTCTTTGCTCAGAGAAATACAACACAAACCACATTTGTCAAAAGCCCGAGCTCTCTTTGTGCCCCTGACTCAGTCAATGAGCCCACATACCAGCTCTGTCTGTACTTGGCCAGGCTGCCAGCAGGGGCGTCTCTGAACCGGGGGCAGCAGTCTCAGCCACAGATGCCAGGACCAAGGGACACATGGGGGCTGCATACAGAGGTCTGGGAGTGAGTGCCTTGTGAGGCCCGAGCGAATGGAGGCTTGGCTCGCCTAGCGTTACTGGGACTGAGCTCAGGGCCAGCTCCCTCCTCTTCCTCAGTCACTTAACAGGAAGCTCTGGCCTCACTCCAGGGAGAAGGAGGATGGGCCAGGGTCTGAGCCCAGCACCTGCTGGGTCCTCCCCAACTTCCCCAGCGGTGCAACAGGGTCTGCCGAGTCCTTGCCCAGAACATCTCTGCAGATAGAGTAAACTACCAAACCCAACTGTGGCCTCTGTGATCCACAGTGTGCTCAGGGCCCCTGGGACACTGCCCCGGGTCCCCAGCTCCTGTGTCATAGCTCTGAGTGGTACAGAGCAGCTGGTGACACCCCTCACACTATGGGTCCCTAGGCAACGGGCAGCAGCCTGGTCTCCATGCCGGCTGCTGACCGACATTCACGGTAACAGCCCACGTTACAGCTGGGAAGACAGGCCTGGCGCCTCTGTGCTGCTGCCCAGGCTGGGTGGAATGGTCCAGGCTTGGGCAGGGCATGTTTTTGCCACCCGTCCTGTTTGCTGCCCTCCTTCATCTGGAAGTGGCCAGCTGGGCGCTGCATGGATGTCCTGCCAGCAGTGCCTCCCTGGCCTGGGGCACTGAGAGAGAAGGGACTTCACTCTTGTCGAAGCACTGTGGTGGTTCCCAACCAAAGCAGCCAATCTTAGGCCAGTGATGGCTGGGACCTCCCTGAGGCCACGCTGGAGGAAAGCCACCAAGCATTTGCCTTTGCCTCCTCTTTGAGGAAACCCCATTGCCCAACTCACCCTCTGTCCATGCAGAGTTTGTCTCACTGTGTTCGGTCTCCAGTGTTGATGGAGCTGGCCAGGCCCACACGTGTCACTGAGCAGGTTACGAAACAATGAACAGGGAGCCTCGCACACACCAAGCGGTGGGCCCATGCACGGAAGCTGCGACAACCTAACCTGTACCCAAGCAGCGCATGCACCACATCCACTGCCACCCCGCACCATGACGCCCGCCCGCACTACCATGATGGCCCCCCACACCACTATGACACCACCCGCATGCCACCACCACTGCCCGTACCACAACACCAGAGCGCCCCTTGCCCAGCAAAGACGGCCTCTGTGGGCCAAGTACCCAAAGCCTCGTTGTTGTTGTTGTTATGTGCTGTCGAGTCGGACCTGACTCGTAGCCACCCCTCCTTGGGTTTCCAAGGCAGTATCACTACGGAAGTAGATTGCCCAACCTTCCTTCCAAGGAGTGGCTGGTGGGTTTGAACCGCCAGCCTTCTGGTTAGCAGTCAAGTGCCTTAGGCACTATGCTACTAAAGCCCCAAATCTGTCAATAATTATGGAGCTGGGACCGCCTAACCTTTGCCCCTGTAAGGGAGTTACTGAAAAACAGACCAAACTCCAGTGAAGACCTGGGGCAAGTACCCAGATGGCAAGAGAAGCAGAGGCTTACTTGTGCTTCCTTACTAATCTGCAGTGACCAAGCACAGGAGTTTCACCACACCTTTGATACAGTGAAAAACATGGGAAACTGTTTGCTACAGATTAGAAAGAATGCACAAGTAAGCCTGTGCTTACCTGGCTCCCTGGGTATTCCACCCCTGTACTGAAGAGTCTTTGTGTGGAAGGCACTGTGGGTTTGAGAGAGGGACAGATAACAGCCATACCTAGAGGCAGAATCTTTGATATGGTGGAAAAACATGAAACTGTTCATGACAGCTTGGTAAGTAAGCACAAGGAAGCCTGTGCTTACCTTGTATACTGAGTAATCTGACATTGGTGAAGATGCACTGTTCCTACCACTGAATCTGCAAGCAACACAGACAGCGCCAGACGGGACATGCAGCTGTCTCCTGTGCACAGCAGCCCAATGGCCTCACTTGGCACCTCCTCCCCATACAACCTGATGCAATGCAACCTGGGCAATGGGCAGCAGCCTGGTCTCTATGCCGGCTGCTGACCGGCATGATGCCCAAGTGTGTCTGGGAATCTAGTGGACGAGCAGCAGTGTGGTTCCAGTAACAAACACATTGTTAGTTCCTGAGGCAAGTCGTTCCCACCAGTAACAGGGCTGGGCTGGCAAGTCAAACACCTCTTCGTGAAGCCCAGCACCCCCTTGCCAGCCTTCTCATGCCAGCGTTTTCAGCAGGGCCAATGTCCCCATGCTGGCCCTCCCCTCACGGCTACACGTTCATTAGGGCCAGCGTCCCTGGGAGCTCATTTCCAGCCTTGGACGCCATCGCTCCAGCAGCAGTATCTACCAATGGTTCACACCAACAGAAGCGTCTAGCAGACAGTTTCTGCATGGGTCATCACCTCCTCGAACAGGCCCATCAGAGCGAGCCGGCTCACATCCTCCACAGCTCTTGTGTCCAGAGCAAGGGCCGCCTCGGGCCTCACCACGCCTATTCCCCAGCTCCTACTCGAATGACTTTTCCCCTGAATACTGTGTGGAGTTGTTACTTCTGCCATAACCCGGCACCTCTTCAGAAGCAGAATCCACAAGTGGGAGACAAAGCTGTCCCAGGCACCAGTGAGGAAGCCAAGGTAACTTACTACAATTTACGTTCAAATCTGAACTGCAGTCTGGGCAGTGGCTCTCTGGTCAAGACAGCTTTACAGGGTGGTATTCTGGGAGTACCAGGCTGCCCACCCAGCCCCTCTCTGCGTCTCTTAACGATGAGTTGACTCTCCAGGGCTGCTCAGGCCTGACTTCCTACAGGAGCCAGACAAGTCAGAGAGGAGGAAGGAGGCCATAGAACACTTGCACCCGCTCAGTGTGACGGTGCCTTCTGGGGGTGTGCCATCAGAAAATAGCCCCCACAGGGGCTCCAGGTCAGTGCCACTCACTTCATGGCGAAGCCCACTGATCCGGCCAGCACAGAGCCCGTCTGGCACGGATGCCGCCCTTCTGTGGTACTTTCTGGGTGTTACGTGGTCGTGCACCTGGCCTAGCCTCCTTGCTGGCCATGGAATCCCACAGCCTCACGGGGTACTTCTGCTTGGGGGTGGCATTCCCAAATCAAGGAAGATGGCAGAGGGACAGAGGGCAGGGAACTGGCTCCGGCCCCTCCTGTCCTCGCTTTTTCCTACAAGGCTGGCAGCAGCAGTGCTGCGCAAGGAGCCCGGGCCTGGCCACTGATCCCTGAAGAACACCCAGGCTGTGACCCGTCCAGGGTGACATACTTACAGCACACGAGTCTCCAGACCCTAGGGAGCCCTGGTGGCATAGTTCCTAAGGCACCTGACTGCTAACCAGAAGGCGGGGGGTGCAAACCACCAGCCACTCCTGGGAAGGAAGACTGTGCAATGTACTTTTGTAGAGATACCATCTAGGAAACCCAAGGAGGGATCGCTATGAGTCAGGTCCCAGTCGACAGCAGTGAGTTTGGTTTGTTTTTTTCTCTAGACCCTTAAGACCCGAATAATTTACCCTCAGGCCTCACTGAGCTGTGGGAGGCTCTACCACCTGCCCTGGCTGCTCCTGGCTGCTAGAGGCATCTGTAGGAACTGGCTGTGACCTGGAGTCTGCGCTGTCTTAGAGCCCAGCAGCCTGGCCCAGAGGTGTCATCTGCTCAGGGACCTCATCCAGGTTCACTTGACTGTAGTCGGGGAAGGGGTGGGTCTCTCCCACTACGGAGTGGGCAAGCTGTAAGACCCCTCTGGGCGTGCCCACATGGCCTGCCCTCTCCTGATGACCTGCTCACCTAATCCCTCCTCTCTAGCGCCCTCCTGGCCGCCGTCTGTCCGCACCCCACGCGCCTGCCCCGTGGCGCCCAGCGCCCTTTGCCTGCCCCTGGGCGCGCACTCACCCGCTCCTCCTCCGCGCGGATGTCGGGCATGGTGCTCAGGCAGAGGCCCACGGCCGTGATGGCCACGAAGGAGACGGAGACGCAGGCGAAGAGCTTGCCCGCCAGCCCCGAGTGCGGATTCTCCAGCACGTCGTGCAGGAGCCGCCGGCCGCGCGCCAGCCGCCCGCCGGGCCCCAGCGCGCTGTCCGGGGAGCCCGCGGCCGCGCGGCCGGCGTCGGCTTCGCGCTCAGCCTCGGCGGCCTCCTCCTCCCGGCGCCGCAGCCGCCGCAGGCAGCAGCGCTCCAGCCGCGCCTCGTCGATGCCCCAGTAGGCCAGCTCGTCGCGGAAGGCCAGCGCGCACGGGCCGCGCAGCAGCCGCAGCTTGCCGGCGCGCAGGAGCGCGGCGATGGTGCGGAACGCGCTGGGGTTGCGGTCGAAGAAGAACTCGTCGCGGCCCGCGTCGTAGTCGTCGCAGACCCGCAGCAGCTCGTCCGGGCCGCGGCAGGTGCGCAGGCGCTCCAGGCGCGCCAGGGGACAGCGGGCCAGCGCGGCCCAGGGCAGGCGCAGCCGGCAGCCGCCCACGTTGATGATGATGTGCCGGCCGCCGCCCAGGCCGCCGTCCCGGGGCTGCTCCGCGGGCCCGGACAGCAGGGCCATGGCCCCATGCGCGGACTTGCCGGAGGACTGGCGGCTGTCAGGCGGCAGGGTCTGCAAAAGCAACAGACTGGGGTTAGGGCCGCGTGACCAGAGGGACGCACGGGCGCTTCCGGCTGCCCTCCCCGTCCAGGGCTTACTCCTTCCTTGCATAACCCGCGTCCACCGCGACTCCAAGTCTGTCACTTGGATCACTTGGATCGTGGCGGATCCGTCAACTTTCGGAAGATCCTCTCCTGGTGACCTGGGTTTAATTTACCTCCTGTAGACACCGGAAGAACCAGAATATGGGCCGTGGGACAAGTGATAAAGGGATGCTTTGCCAACAGACACCTGGGCCTTGTCCCTGGCGATGCCACCTTGGTAGACCTGAGTGAGGCTCTGGGCAGGGCTAGGCATTTGCAATGTAAAGACAGAAACAGCCGCCCTGCTCCTCAAGTAAACACCAAGGGAAAAAAGGTGCTACCATCACGTGAAACAGACAAAAGAAACCTCACCAAATGCAGGAGAGATGGGATTCTGTGGAACAAACCGACTACAAACGGCAGTCGACCCTCATACCGTATGACTTGAAGGACTTGGTTGCAGGTACCACCGCGGTATTCTGATAGCGTGAAAGGTGGGGGCTGATTTTATCTTTCAGCAGTGCACAGCGAGGTTCACAGTCAAAACTATCCCTCTGGGATCCTCCTTGTCCAGTATGATGGGAGGTAAGCTGGGCCTGATTCTCACAGTGGCTGCAGTTGGGCAATGGGGACACTGGGGTTCATGATACTGCTCTCTCTACTTCTACACGTTTGGAGACTTTTTTCAGAGCTTGCAGGTAATTTGCTGCCCAGCTGGGCCCAGGCGCACTGCTCTGAAAGCAGAAACCTCACAGTGCCCAACTCCACAGGCTGCTGCCATTACTTGGAGTCAGAGGTTCACTGTTTGGTGTCCATGGACATTCTTCAGGGGGTCTGTGAACCTTCTCAACTTACCAGCAAACGATGCTGTATATTTTTGTAAGTGGGCCCACTGTCTTCATCCAATTCTCAACGGGCTTTGTGTCCCCCAAAGATGAAGAGCACTCTGCAGAGCTCCGAGAAAAGAAACAAGCTGAGTGTGCATGAATTGCTAGCCCAGATCCCAGTGCAAAGATGTTGAACACGCGTCCCCTCAGCAGGGGGTGGCCGTGAGCACGTGGCCACTCGTCATCGGATGCTGACTCAGGGACACTTGAACAAAGACAGGACTTCAGAGGGCTTCTTACACGTATTACTTCCGAATGGCTCACTTTCTCTACAAGGCAGGATCAAGAGGCTCGACCATCCTACTCTTCCGAATGAGAGTCTCATCCCAGCATATACAGACTGACAAGCAACATCCCTGACTGCTACAGATGACTCAGCTTCAAGGGCATCGTTCACTAGACGCGTTAACGAGACCAAGTCCTCGTTGGTCTGAATATGTACAGCTTCACTTGCGTGACATATTTACATGCAGGTGGAAGGAGGAAAAAGACATCCTTCTTAATCATAGGGACAGACTTTTGGGACCTTCACAAGCCAAGGTCGCAGCATGATATGAGGGATGGAGTGAGCAAGGCCCGAACTTTTGTGTGTGCTTATGCCCACGTCCAAGCTTTCCTTCTATAAAAATTTAATCAGTGTCTGCTGTGGACCAGCCACCTGATGCTGAGAACACAGCTTCACGGAGCTCACAGTGGGAACGGACAGATGCAGCACTTCTGATCCCACAGGTGCCGGGACCCGGACCGCCAGGGAAGGCTCCTAGAGACAGCTGAGGCCTAAAGGGCTGGCCAGTGGGGGGTTCAAAGAGGTGGTGTTAGAGGAGGGAGTCCTGCCTTACTGAAGACCAGTCCAGTGTTTAGGTCCTCTCGCTACAGAGACACGTGAGCTGCACCCTCAAATCCAGAACTCGGGCTGCAAGGCTCCCAGAGCTCCAACACGGAGGTGGGGCCCTCCCTCCTGCCAGGCTGACAAGCCTTACCTTTCACAATGAGGCGGTGACACACCTCAGCAGGCTGAAGCTGCCGAGAGTGAACAGGAGCCATGCCGACTTAAGGAAGGGTGGGTACTCGCCCCACCCTGGGATTGAGGCAGTGGCGCTGAGGCCACCCTCCAGCCTGCGGAAGCACAGAAGCTGCACTTAGAAGGACTTCAGAGTCAAGTGAAACGTGGGGTGGCTCACAGGTGGGCCCACACATTCAGCTTCTGTAGCTGCCTTTAAGGCGGCATGAAGAGTGTACTCAGATGGGTCACCAGCCCTGTCCTGTGCCTCAGCTTCAAGTCAAGCTGAACACATACATGGCGTCCACCAAGGAGACTCACAGAGTTACTTTTTTCTGTTTGTCCCAGGACTGTGTGAAGTTTCTGGCCAACTGGCAGTTCTGGGTTCATTTTGCTCTGGGAAGGAGAGTATGTTCCCTTTCTGCTGAAATCGAAGCCAAGACCGGCAGATTATACCTGAAATATACACCTCAAGTTTCACCACACGGGACCAAGAAATAACCTGACTTACACAACACGCATTATGTCTGCAAAGCTTTCCTTAGCGGGACCTGCTCTGATTCCTCCACTTCTTTACATCCCCTCAGAACGCAGGCACAGAATCGACAGAACAGCACGGTGCCGTGCGTCGCTTTTATATAGCGTTTCTCCCCACGGTCTTGTAACTCCCACCAAATGATTGGGTGGGGCTATGCAAATAAGGCATTTGTGGCCCACCAAGGGGATTGGACAGCTTGCTAAGAATGCACACCAGGTATATGAACCCCTGTGGGGGGGGGGTGGCTGTTATTAGGTGCCGTCAAGTCATCTCCAACTGACAGAGACCCCGTGTAAACAGAATGAAACACTGCCCGGTCCTGCGCCAGCTCCACGATCCCTGCTATGCCCGAGCCCATCACTGAAGCTGCTGTGTCAATCCGTCTTGTTGAGGGCCTTCCCCTTTCCCATTGACCCTCCACTTTACCAAACAGGCTATCCTTCTCCCTAAGGAGGAGATCAGTCAGTTCTGCTATCCTACTAGAGTTAAAAGAGCCAATCCCAGAGGACAAGGAGACCACTGCCACCAGGACAAAGAGTTGGGAGTGAAGAATGTCCTTTGGACCTGCAGTCCCTGCACTGAGAACCTCCTAGACCCAGAAGGCAGACAGCTGCAACACTGGAGATGGGGAGAAACAATGAGAAGCAGCAGGAGAGAAACAGCTGCAGCAGAGGCAGCAGAACCAGGAGACTGGCTTAAGATGGTGCAGTGGGCTTCCTGGCCCACAGAGCAAGAAAGCCTAGTGCCCACAGGCAGGAGCTAGCTGCTGGAGTAGATGCCTCTGGGCACTTCCTGGTGGAGCTAAAGAGATGCAGGGCCAGCCCAAGAGGCCTGAGGGCCTTAGGGGCCAAGGCCCGAGAGGCCGAGAGCCAGGGAGAGGCCTGCCCAGGAGAATTGCTGAGAAGAGGCTAACCTGACCTAAGACCTGCATCCCGAGTGGTTCCTGACCCTGAACTGTCACCTGTTCCTTCCCTAATAAACCCCATAACCCTAAGTATTGCCTGTGAATTCTGTGTGGCCACTGCATTGAATTATTGAACCTAGCAGAGAAACAGCGAGTGCCATGGGAGGGGTGGCTCATGTCAGAATTAAAAAAGGTTGGAGAGAGGAGGTAGGTCTGACCTCTGCTTCACCGGAATCAGCCTTGGGCTCCTGGTTGGTGATCTTGACTCTCCTTCCCTCTTGTGAAGTTTGAGGAGGTCAGACATGGACATGCCATTTATACAAATGAATTGGCTCCCTTTGTAACCAAATCAAATGTGTGCTCCAAAGTCTTTGTTGGTGGGAATGAAAAATAAATGACTAGATGAGCAGCTAGAACTTGGAAATTTTTGGTATAAAGTCCCTCCTTCCCAGAACATACATTTAAAAATATGAACAGACATTAAGTACTGTTAGTTATAAGGAAAAGCCTGACAGCTCAGTAGAAAGGGGCAAAGTGGCATAAGTTTATAGGGAAGGAACACACATGAGGTTGAGACACAGGAAAAGATGCTGTACTTCATTCACAGTAGCAAAAATAAACACTTCCAGTTATCATAAGGTATCATACTGGCATAGATTGGAAAGTTTGCCTAAGATGTGGGGCCAGTTAGACCCATTCAATGATGACAGAGGGTACAATGGTCCAACCATCACAGAGGCAACTTGGCAATACTCATTAAAATTGTAAACGCACATATCCTTTGATCTAGCAAGTCCTGCTGGGAATTTGTCTTATACTTGTGCAAAATGAAGCATATTCAGTGACATCCTTTGCTGTATCTTGTTAGTGGTAGCAAAGGATTAGAAACAGCCTAACTACCCACTAATAGGGCATTGATTAAGTATATCCATACACTGGAATACTATGAAGCTGTTAAAAAGAATGCTATCCTTGATGAAGTAAGAGAAAGAGTAAGGTAGGCTTTCATTTCTGGCAAGATGGTGCAGTAGATAATCTGAAAACTCTCCTGTCTCAAAACACCTGGAAATGCTGGTGAAAATGTGAGAGATACCAGCATAGGTCTTTCTTGTTTTCTCAAGAACTCACTTTCCATTTTTAAAGAATTACAAATAGTGGAGAATCTACTTTGAATGTAAGGCAGTTACTTACTTCCTCAAGAAAGCAAGAGGAAGCTGCTGGGCCCAGAACAAAGAGGAACCAGAAGGCAGAGGGGCTGCTCTGTGCCCGGGTGTGGGTGGGAAGAATGGGGTGGGTCTCAGTGTCGAAGGAGCTGTGGCACAGCAGCCTTGTAGGTGGACCGCCATGAGGTGGGCGTTTGACCTGACCCTGCATACAGCAGGGACCTTTGCACGGCTGAACCCTCAGTGAGAAAGTGACCTCCTGCTAGGAGATTCTAAAACTCTGCTGACTCCAGTAAAAATGAGAACATGTGTCTAACAGCCTGTCCACACAAGGGGTCTGAGGGCCAAACTTACATGTTCCATGAAACTCAAAGCTAGGATTAAACCATGAGAAGCAGCCACAGGTTGGTCGCATACCTGAAGCACCTGACAGAACC